TGTTACAACCTTAAATTTTATGAAGTAATCAACTTAATTTATATCTGGGAGTAATGATAGTTAGATTATAATATGGTGTATGGATTAACATAGTTAATGGATCTGCTCATAGAAATTGAATGAACATGAAGATTGGATTAAATGTTTATTATTGAACAATAATGAAGATATTATGATATCAGGAAGTGATGATAATACAATTAAATTTTGGAAAAAGCAGAATGAATGGATATGTTCATAAACTATTAATGATCATACAAGTGAAGTATATGGATTAAGTTTGAATGAGAAATAGAATAGAGTGATATCTTGTGGAAGAGATAAGTTAATATTAATAATAGAACAGTCATCATAGGATTAAAAATGGAATGTAATATAAAAGATAACAGTTGAAGAGTGGGGTATAAGATTATGCTTTATCGATGATAATGTATTCACATTCCAACCTCGTCTTTAAGAGTAAATGCATGTTTATGAGATGAATAGTACTAATAAATAGTACTCAAAGACTAAAGAAATTGATGTTAAATGTGGAAAAGATAGTTGCAGATATTATTTCCCTTAATAATATATAAAGTCGAAATGTCTGCTTGTGAATAAGAATGGATTTAATGTTAATTTGATAAGGAAGAACCAAAATGGTGATTTTATAACATAATAATCTATTCAATTTGGAGATTGTAATATATTTGGATAGATGAGTGAAGATGGAGAGTATTTGATTACTTGGGATGCAAAATCTAAGGAAATAAAAATTAGGAAATATCATTAATTATGATCAAGAATGAATTATTATTAAAAATTATTAATTATTGATTTATTCTTATACCATACTTTTGAAGATGATAATTTTATAATTAAAATGTTTTCAAGTCATTTTTAGATAACTATTCTGAAAAATAATACTTTTTTTATAGGATGGAATTTACTCAAATTTTAACTATTTCGATAGAAGTTCCAGACTTATGCTTTTCAATTTAATATCAAGTTTTAATCTTTTTAATAAAGTTTCATAAATTACAATAATATAGATTTAGATATTCTTTATCTTAGTTTATATTTATCGAATTGATTTTTCTAAAAAAACTGCCATACCATCTTTTAGATATCTATATTATAACAAAAAAACATTGATTTCAAATTTAATATAAACTAACCCATAAAAGGTTTAATTTATAGTTTTTGATAAAAAATATATATGAGATATTAAGATAACTCTTTGGCAATTTATTAAGGTTAATACAACAGATAATTTATTTCTATAATTCAGTTAATATAATTAGTCTATCCTTAAAAAAATTGACAATTATAGTCTTATTTTAATAGGATCTAATTCCTTATATCGCATAAAACTAATTGAACCAACTGTAATAGAACAAACTGAAAAATAGAAGGATTAGATTAAAAAGAGTCATCAGCATATTTGACTATTTCAGTTTATTTAAATATTTTTTAAATAACTAATAGCAGATGAGTAATAATTTTAGTATATTTATCTAAGAATTTTTGCACAGTAAATTTAATCTTAATAATGTTAATTGAAAGACTAAAACTTTTAATTAATTTTTACAGTCTATAATTTTAGATAATGAGATTATTAATTAAGAAATAAAAATGGTTCAATATTGACTTCTCATTATTTTAACCTTGAGAATTTATTGAAAACTAATTTTATATTTATACCATCTATGATAGTAGATAACAGAATTTGATTTTTATCTAATTCTTTATACATTTA